CCCAGGGATGTCCCAGGGCACAGGCTGCCGTGCCGCAGGGTGAAGGCTGGAGGCACCCACATCTTCCCGTGGGTGACACTGGGATGGAGGTAGGTGTCTGGCTCCCCAGTGTTATTGATGCCACATACATACAAGTCACACAGTGCCAGCGGTGTGACACTGGGGACCAGCCCTGCTTGTGTACAGTGTCCCCATAACCCGATGCTGTTGCAGGTGGAGGAAGGTGGCAGCTCGGGGAGGTGGCCCTGTGCTTCAGCTTAGAGTTGTGAGAGGTAACATCTCCCATCCCAGCTCAGACCAGCATGTGGGGCTGTCTCACTCCCGTATCGGGTCCAGCCAGGAGCGTGGCTGCCACAGCCGCTTGCAGCTGGGAGAGAAAGTGCAAGTGCCCGCTGGTTCCGTGGGCAAGAGCAGCTCCCCGGGTCTCTCTGGGCTCCTGTGCTGATTTACAGAGGAGCAGATGCCCAGATGCTCCACGGCACAGGACCATGGCCCAATCCTGCATTGAGCCAGCACTAGGGCTGGGCTTGGGATTGCCACAGTGGGATGGGAAAGGCGAGTGGGTGAGTAAGAAGAGAACAGGGATTTTCTTCTGCTGTGGGAGGGAGAGCCCTGGGCACTTCTGGGCTGCTCTCCCCATTCTGGATGCCCCTCCGTAGGCTTCAGCTGTACCCAGTTTTAAGACCTGATATTCTTGTGGGCAGCTGTGCCTGTTGTGATAGCAGCTTAATTGCTTATTACTATTCTTAAATTACATAAAGAAGTAAAATAATTCAATACAGCTGTGTTTCTCACACCTTGTGTGTGCACAGACCAGGGGGCAGCTGAGCTGATCTTTGGGGAGGTGTGTGTAGAAGCCCCATCTTGTCACAGCTGATCTGCAGGCTTGTTCCCAGGGCTGAAGCAGCGAGTGCAGGAGCAGGATGAGCTTAATTCCCTCAGCATAAGCAGCAAAGTTGAAATGTTGAGAGTCCCAAGTGATGGGGAGATGGATGTGGGGATGAGAGGTGTGTGCTGTCATGCTGCCGTGTGCTGCCTGGTCAGCATGGGTCCCTCTGTGCAAGGAGGAGCAGAAGGGGATGGGGCTTTCTGTGTGAGAGTGCGAGGAAGGGAAGCCTGGAGCGTGCAAGGAGCTGGGTTGCAACTGGGCACGATGAGTTGAGGATCTGCATCTTCTATGGGCTCCCATTCCCACCTGTGCAACACACATGCAGGCACACACCCGTGCGGTCCAAAACCGACTGCTTGTTCGAACTCACTGGGGTTTGTGCATCCAACAAGAAAAGGAAAACGAGAGGATTTTCCTTTAGTGGTTCTCTCTGCTCATTAGTCCCCCAGCACGGGGTCAGAGGCACACAAATACAGCCTCTCACACCGGAGCAAGCTCCCCCCTTGCTACCCACCACTTCTGCCTTTTCACCTCCCTCACCACAACCCTGGACCAAGAGCGTGGCATCAGTCTCGGGCAGGACACCCAAACACTGACCTAATCGTAGGGGTGCCCTCTCTCAGCAGCACGTGTGTCGGTGCGTGGGCTCTGTCACCTGCCACCCATCACTAGCCACGACCCACCCTGCTCAGCCTCCTGCCCCGTGCCTGCTGCGTCCCCTCCCTGACGGGCATCGCGAGCTGCCCGTCCCCTGTTGCTCTGCACCCACCTCTGCTGCACCACGACTCCAGCGCAGTACCTCTCAGGCTGCCTTTCTCACCTACCCACCACAAAATTTGATTTATTTGGTGTCTTTTAGCTATTTTAGTTTAATATTTTAATGTGTGTTGCCTGTTCCTGCCCTTAATTGCTAGTTTGTTTTTCCCATCCTCTTCCTCAGCAATTCCAAGTTGCTGCTGCTGGCAAATAAAGTGAGGGCAGCAAGTTTTGGCCTTTGATCTGAAGACCATGAGATTCCTGAGGGGCAATTAAAATTGCTTTGGGGTGTAAGCACGTGGGTGCTCACTCACTGCTGGTACAGGTGCACCAGCTCCAGCAGAACAAAACATGCATGAACACATATATGCAGGCATGCAATGTGTTTTATCCTTTCAGCAATATTTTATTCTATTTGCTTGAATTAAAAATAACTCATTTTCTGTTAAGAGAAAATGACACAGAGAAACAGTGCTAATTTGGGATGCAAAATGCTATCGGCTTCCCCTGCCTTCCAAATTCCTACTCTGCAACCTCAGTGAGGTCTTTATGCAGATGGACACTTACAAATATGAAGTCAAAATTCCCACTGCTTTCAGGTGCTGAAAGTTAGGCACATTTTCAGTGCTCGGATGATTTCATATATGAGCTAAGTTTCATGTGGATGATGCTTTTCTTGGACTACTTTGTGTACAGAAAGCCATCCTCTGAAACATGGGGCTTTCCAATTTCTAAATTAGGCTCTTTACACTAGAGACCCACAAGGAAAAAAGATTTATTTTATTTTATTTATTTTTTTTTTTAATAAAGTGATGTTATTAGTGTTGTCTGAAGCAGCTGCTCCGGTGTGAGAGCATCCGTCTTCCCAGCCGTGGCTGTTGCATGTGGAGAGGCTCTGACAGCTTTTCCTCCAGCCACTCTGGCAGTGTGGGAACATAATAGGAAGAACGGAGAAAGGAGAAGTGTCATCCTTTCAGGGAAACAGGAGTGTGGGTGATGTAAAAACCCTTTCCTGGCCTTACAGATCTCCTCGGGCTGTTGCAGGCACCAGGGTTTTGGCATGGGCTGCAAGCAGCATCTTGCACCTGAGCTGCGTTCTCCTCGAGCTCTCTGATCCCGGGGCTGACAAACCCTTTGCTGGCACATCTGTATTTCCAGCTAAAACAAGCCCCAGTGGGGTCAGGTGGGAGATGCTGCCTGTGTCCTATGGCAGGAGGGTGCCAAAGGCTCCATCCAGAGCCAAAATGCTCTGTGGGGGCATTGAGCTGGGGCTCTGTGTCAGGAATCGCTGCTTTGGACTCTGTCCCTTGTGCCTCACTGCCGTTCATGGGCCAACAAATGTCTTATTTCTCCGTATGTGTCACTGTGTCCTTGTCTCCCCAAGCTGCAGGGGCCTCTGGGTCCTTCACTCCAGAGATCCATCTCCATCTGTGTGCTCTGTGGCTGCTTATTTCCCTGTCACATTGTTTGTGGCCCAGCCTGGGGGACACCCTGGTGCAGGTTTGTGCTAGCAGTGGATGGTGTTGAGCCATGCTGTCACCTCCAGTGCTGCAGCCTGGGCCATGCTGTGCCTGCCTGGGGGACACTGGGGACCACTGGCAGGTCCCAGATGGCAGTAGGGTCTCACAGGACGTGGGCTATGGCCAGGGTAGGTTCAAAGCGACCAGCTGAGGATGCATGGGGAGCCATTCATCACCCCTCCTGACATCCCTGTCTGTATTTCTTTCTAGATGATTCCTCCAGACCAAGAGCTGCTCGTCTGGTATGGGAACTCCCATAACACCTTCCTGGGCATCCCGGGTGTGCCGGGGCTGGAAGAGGAGCAGAAGAAGAACAAACATGGTATGTAACATCAGAAACAGCCATGGGTGCAGCATCCCTGCTCGTTCTCTGTTCACCCTGTCCCCAGCTCTGAGGCCATGGGGTGTGCATGGGGCAGGGACATCCCAGGGGATATGTCAGATCTCCCAGCTCCCTGGGGACAAACATAGGGACTATGAGGCAGATCCATACAGCTTCACCAGTAACTTGAGAGGTCATCTCCAGGCTGTTTTCGCCCTGGTTACTGCTGGTGTCATGGCCAGGAGTTGCTGCCTGACCCAGCCAGGTAGGGAAGAGCAGGGCAGGTGTGAGAGCGGGAGGAAGGCAGCCCCACACACCGCGAAATGCCGAGGGGATGCAGCTGCCTACATCCCCACTCTGCATTTAACCGATCTTTCCCCAAATCATCATTGCAGGAAGCTTTTCTCTCCCCGGGTTTTCATTCCCTGCTTGTCTTGGTGGTTTCTCGAGGTGCTCCTCTGTGGGCAGGCAGCAGAGCTCTTGGGCACTTATAGAGGATGCTGTGTTCAGAGCCAGACCTGATCTGTGCTCCCCAGTCCCACTCCTGGCTCTGAGAGAGCCCAGCAGAGCAGGGGGAGGAGCTGGGAC